ATGTGAAAACTTTTTGCAAAGTTCAGTGACCATTTGAATTATTATCCACACATTCTCTAATAAAATAATATTACACGTGAACTCAAAATTTTCTTTATTTTTTAATCATAAATTTTCCAAAAAATCACCATTTTAAAATATAATTTTCCCTTCTTTCTACAAAAAAAAAAAAAGGTCTTGAAATAATTAACAATGGGTAGAAAAAAAGCCAGGACTAAATACTAATCATTTTCAACTACACATTCTCCAAAAAATCACTATTTCAAAACTTATTTTCCAAGACCTTTTTTTGTGGCGAAAGGGAAAAATGTATTTTGGAATATTGATTTTTTGGAGAATGTATGGTTAAAAAATAAGAAAAATTTATAAGTTTATATGTAAAATTATATTATTGGAGAATGTATGGATAATAATCTAAATGGTTACCGATCTTTGCAAAAGGTTTCCACGAGGTCACTAAATTTTAAAAATCACCCAATTTATTACTAAACATTGCAATTTGTAATCCCGTTTATCATTGACCTCATGTGGCTGATACATGGATGCCAAATCAACTGAGACATAGTGCCACGTATGCAGCCATGACAGCATTTCGTGAATTTTTTTACGGATTGTGAGGTCAATGATAAACATGGTTACAAATTGCAAAGTTAAATGATGAATGAAGTAGTTTTTAAAGTTTAGTGACATCGTGAAAACCTTTTATAAAGTTCAATGACAATTTTAGTTATTATCACTTTAAAACGAAAGTCTATGAAACACTTTTATTAATTTCATGCAAATCTATAAAAATTCACGAATTTTCACAAAAGTTCATCACTTGAATTTTTTTTTTAAACGTTCTAATTGAATACAATCCCTTAATAATATAAAAATATCTTTTAAAGAATTTGTTTTAAGCATGCTATGCCTAAGCCTACTTGCTACTCTAAAGGTATATTTAGCCCCCTATTTGACTTTAATTTTTAATTTTTCTTAAACTCATTTTTAATCATAAATTTAATAAAAAAATTATCAAAATATGAATTTTAACTAAACTAAATAGAGTTTATTTAGATATGTATCAACGTGCTACAAATCAAATTCATTTTTCATTAATTACTAGACACGTGCATAATATTCGAAATAAGTAATGAAAGTACTTGAAACACAAAAATCTTTACTCATTCCGACACCAAGTGCATTTAAATTTTGTCATCAATGCATTCCCTTACTGAATACTTTTTTCAAGAAAATACATGGCACGTGCACAATATTATAATTGAGTGGCGACAAGATTTGAATACTGATACCATGCATATTTAAATTTTGTCTTCAACATACTTCTCTCTTCACGTGCATATTGAATTCATTTTTCTTCAACATTCACAATATTCGCAAACGAGCAACAAGACTTAAATGTTTAATCTTTACTTACTCCGGTACCTTATTCATTTAAGAATTATATTCGATGTTATCTCCCATACCCAAATTTAAAAAATAACTTGATATAGCAGCAAGAATCTAAACTCTCCAAAGGGTACTTGTGTAAACTCAAAAATCCTATAAATGCATGTTCTTGGTTTGATTGGGACATACGTCTTATTTAGGGCTGCAAATGAATTGGATATGAATCGGATCTGCCTATATCCGATCCGATCCGATCCAACAGATATTCAATTGCTAAATCCATATCCGATTTACAATGTTATCGAATATCCAATCCGATAATCCGATCCGAAATTAATAAAAATTAGGAAAAACATTTTGAACTAACTTGAGGCCCACCTATTTTTCCTAGCAAGTCCAATAGTAACTTCTACTATCATGGTATTCCTTTTTAAAGGAGAGACCATCTTCTATTTTACTATTGACATTCGATGTGGGATAACGTAAAATTGAATTTTAATTCTAAATATAAATATTTTATTTCATTACTTGCATTAACAAATCAAATT